GAATGGATAAATTCATATGATCATAAATTTGTTTCTGCTATTTTTTTTGCATGTGTTATTTACTATATAATAAACTCAGCCGACAACTCCTGCCAATCATAATCATAAATTGTCAGGTAGCACTAGAGATGGGCAAGTAATTACTTATTATATAAAAAATTAAATAACACAGTGCGACAATTTAACATGTATTAGGTTTAAGTATATGTAAGGCGAGACCAATTTGATTTGGTGGTTTACATTACATCTCCACTTCAAAAGAGGGGGTGGGGAGGGTTTTCAGAGGGTTTACATAGTAAAATTTTCGAAATTTTTTTTTCAAAAAAATTTTTTTCCGAAATGTTCCGTTTAATATAAAATTTTTCCGAAATGACCCATAATCCTTATGATATTTACAAAATTTTTTTTTACTATGATGGAGGGGGAGGGAAGGGGGTAATGTAAACCACCGGATCAAATTGGTCTCGCCTAAACTAAAATTATAATTCATCAAAAATTTATGTGTTTTATGATTATAATTTGGGTGCGTTAGTAGAATTTTTTTAATTGATTTTTTTTTGGAATTCTAAACAATAATAATTCAACAAAACTTAAAAAAGTTAATAAAATTTTTTGATAAAATATTTTAATAATAGTTGCAAAAAAGTCTTTTTCACAAAATTTTATTGTAGTCTTCATTTGTGTTATTTAGAATACTTGTTTAACTTATTTGACTTATAAACCTATTCGTTAGGTTTTAATATTGTTAACTAACAGTAAACTTCATATTAATAAAAACAAGCATGACTAGGATTTTTCTTTATTTAAAATCTTAGCAGCCTCTACCCATAAAATGCTAGGATCTTTAGCATTAGTTTCATTATAATAAAATCTATGATCAGCAGGTCTATATGAATATTCCAATACTTCTTTTTCCGTACCATTTTTGAAAAAACTGATAGCCTTTCTTACAGGAAGAAAAAGTGAATTTGGAAACTGAACATCAGCAGCATCATCACCAGCATCCTCCAAAATAACGTTACTTGATGTGAATTCGCCACCAGGATAAGTGCAAAATGATAAATTATTGCCAAGAAGACCACCAACAGCAATAGTTTCAACTTTATGAAATTCGGAAAAAAATAATGTTGTTAGTGCGCATGCGGATGCACAATATCCATTAGTTAGAATGATAAAATCATCACTAGTCCATGGAAAATGTGGGGTATCTTTGATTAATTCCAATTCATCAGATGTTAGAGCATTAAGATATAGGTTAGAAGTACGGTTTTTTCGGGAACCTAATATAAACTGATCAGCAGAATTGAATCGACCGCCTTCAGGAAACGTTAAATAGAAATTTGGATTATAAAAATCATCGACATCACGACCTTCAGTCTTAAAATTACTTTTTATTACTGGAACGGTTAAATCATTAATATTTATTCTCGTTGGATATGAGTTTGGTTGTTTTGATGAAAATAGTATTGAATTTATAAATAGGGGTACGGTTACACTACCACCGTCATTATTTGAAAAATCTAAAACAATCTGTCAAGATTATATGAATAGGTAAATACGACATATAATGCATGTTTAATAAAATTATAGAATTGTCTAGTTCATACCTTCTTTACTTTCCGTTTTTTAAATTCTTCGAAACCAAATTGCAGTGAAGACTCTACATCATCTTCTACTTTATCAATTACCGCAACACCAATATTTTCATCATCATTCAGTAAATAAAAATCGGCATCAGAACTAAATATTAATTTCGCATGTGCAATTTTTGGTTTATTCTTATTTAATTTCGACACTTCAAATTTATCTCTTGAATTTAATTTTGTAACCTTGTCACTTGAAGTTGACACTTCATTTTTATTACTTGATGTAACATTATCATTAAATGAAGTAGATTTGGAATTTAAATTTAGACAAACGTTGTCGAAAAAGTCAACTCCACCATCAAATGTAATTTCCCATTTTCTCTTTAATAGAAAAGGTTTTTTTTTGGAGCATGACAATTTATATGTGATACTAGAAGTTTCAGGCATGTCAATTCGTGAAGTAAATTGTTGAGAAAATAGTCCTGTAATAGGAGCCAAAGCCATATTGAATCGGACACCCAGATCTTTTGATTGTGAAATTGACTTATTTGCAAAATCTTTTATCGCTTGTAATGCTGGTTTTCCTTCAATTTCAATAACTTCGCAATCATTATTTGATGGATTTACTGTATCATCGAAGACCTATTTAGAATAAATATAAAATATTAATATCATATTATGTAATATACCTTAATGCAATGGTGTATACAAGTAATTCTCGATATAAGAAAATAGACTGATACATAATAAAAAACTTATTGAGAATTTATTAACATCTCTCATGTATCGTGTATAATCATCACGAACTAATTTTGGCTTAACTTTTATACAGAAAGTTTAATTTGCTTTCCTCATGCCAAGATTTGTTACAGCATATTGAGAGCTACTTGTATTATACAACACGTTTTATTTTCGGATTAATTTATTACATGTTAGTAAACCATATAATTACCTTAATTATCTTTTTATAATTCAATAATTATAAATGACAATTTATTAAATAGTTAATGATATAATGTTAATACAGGCATAAAAAAGTGATGATAATATCTGAAGTTAGTTTACCTGTCTCTTTTTATCAGCCGTAATCACAGAATATAAACTTATGTTTTGATTATAAAAAAAGTTCTGATAACATGTGCTTACAAATCTCGCATGACCGTCTTTTACTTTGAAAATAAGATTTCTTAAAGCTACCTAATTATTTTAGAATTATGCGTCAAAAAATATATATATTTTTTTAAATATTATATAGTATGTAGATATTTATTTATGTGTAATGTAATATACCTTAAAATCATAATCAGAGTCAAATTTTTTTTTACGTAAAGACTTTATTTCACTCGTTAGATTTATAGGTTGATAAGTAAATCCATTAGGTGTTGGTTCATTTGCCTGATCAAGGAAAACATAATAGCTCGACAAGATATGTATCACGGAATCAATTATCTTTTTGTTGAAAAAGAAAAATTTAATTATGTATAGATTAATTTTAAATAAAATTTAAAAAAGATTAATAATTACTTTGTCAGCATTTTTAGCGTTAAAAGGAATGCTTTCAAAACATGTTTTTAAAGCATTATAATCAATTAATTTTTCTGCATCGATTGCTTTAGATACTCGATCGCATTTGAAGCCAGTATTTTGTGATTTTGAAGACGGAAAACTGATTGCTAATAATGCCACAAAGAATATAAAGCATATGTTTAATGCTGAATAGGCCTGGATTCTTTTCATGACTAACTGTATATTAAAAATCAGAATAAAGGTGCTATATCAAGGAACAATTTTTTAACACTTCTGAAATATATCAGTGTGTATTTGGATTTGACATTTCTATCAACCTTTTTATAGCAAACCTTTTTTGACTTATGAAAAATGGCAAATTCTCGTATTTGAGTTTACTATAATTATCCAAATTTACACGTGTCTACTCGTAATTACCTATCTAAGGATGTTGTAATTTTGCTCGGTTCATCTTGCCATATATGAAAATGCATCAATTTTTTGTTTTTTTTTGTATCTTGTGATTCCAAGAAAGGGGGGATGTCTAAAGCGCGCGTCTACGATACAAACCATATATGGAATAGATCGGTAATTAAAGAAAAAGTAAAAAATAAATTGCAAAAATTAAGAAAAAGAGTTCCTAAATCAACCCTCGATATACGAAGTAAAAGTGTCGGGAATGTAATTTTGCATATAAAACTACGCACGTTTAGTCTCTACCACCTATCATAGCTGCTAACCTTGATAATTTCTTTCTTGGTTTTGTGTTACAGGCGCAAATAAGTAAATCCGTCAAAATTGGTGTTTGATTGGATTATATAAATTGATTGAGCTTCTGGTTAATTTAATTTCATGTAATTTTCATGCTTTAGATGATCCCAAGGGAATATCTCATCCGTCTATTTTCATATAACTATCGCTACTGCTATTAGCTATATTGCTATTGGCTATTGCTAGGAGTATAAGACTAGCCTGATCCGGATCATGGTATCAAAGGCTGATGATCCGAATCCGATCTTAACAAATTTGGATACATACATTTGGTATGAGTACCGCGATAATACATATATATATTTATATATATATATAAATGACTTATCACGTCGTTGAATGATTCAGAATCAGGGACTGTGAATACTTCCAAAAATAAATCCATTTTATTTCGATATTGTAATCAAAATTCAATTTTTTAAAAATAACTTAGCTATGATAATTTAATTTTATTCCATTTTATTCTTAATTGAAGTATTCATCGTCCTTGTCCAGTATCGGCTCGATCTTTTTAGAAAGATCATATTGGAAGGTCATTTTAACATCCCTAGCTATTACTATTAGCTATAGCTATGGCTAGAGATGGGACACTGCGCAGGCGGAATTTTCCGGAAGCACGGAATTTTTCGTAATAACGCAGAATTTAACAATTTTGGCCCGCATTAGCCGTAATGCAGGCCCGTGCAGGCTGCGCAGCCTGCGCAGTAGATTCGAAAAATCCTCGATTTTCCCATCTCTAGCTATGGCTATCATATTTGCTACTCGTTAGTTAAAAAAAAATAATAATAAATAAAATAAATAAATAAAATCCGATGCGATTTAATTGATAATGAATGAAGCCTTCACTTTAATCTTTTTTATTAACTTTCATTTAAACTTGCGATATACATTAGTATTTCTTATTTTCCGGTTTTTTCTTGCAGAATTTTTTACCGATCAGATTAATTGGTACCTATAAACATTTTTCGAAACACGTATCCTGAATTTCTCCAGATTATTGTTCCATTATCTTTCCGAAAACTCACATTTTTCAGAACAAAGCATATATAGAATCCTGATAAATCATCAAATACAGATAAGATTCGGATTCATTTTAATTTAATGATGCACAAAAGATCAGAAGTCGAATCTTTTCCGGATTTGGTTTTTACCAGTGTGAACAGTAGGATGGTAAGGCCGGAAGCTCGTTTAAGCAGGTGATCGGTGTGGCGCAGTAACGAATAAACGGCTATGTCGATCACTTACCTTAAATGGGTTTCCCGGCAG